TCTTAACTTTTACTTCAGTCGAAAATTTATTCGAGAATTTAAACTCGATTAAAATGTATGATTCATAGTATCTCTACTATTTTTCATGAAAACAATAGTTATCATTAATTTGAAATATTTTATTTTCATAATTTGAAATATCTTTCATATATTTATAGTTCAATAATTTCTTTTAAGATAATTTAATATACAAGGCAACAAGTCTTATTTACAATTAGATTCTTCGTACATAGATATAGAACAACTATACATGCATAAAACGTGAATAGTAAATGTGGCTATTAAATTTATATTTTTAACGAAAAAGTAAATGTTAGCCGTATGACACATTTATCAATTGTGTAACAGCGTCGGTACGTACGATGCGAAATTATAACAGTACGAACGAAAGTGATCTAAAAATGTAATTATTGTGTAAACCCCAAAACCAGTAACGATAATTTGTATTCGCGGAATTGCTGTTTATTTTTGTTCAAATTTTTATCTGAAATGTCATGACTATTAGTCGGTCTGGTAGTGCAAACGTAAAATTATGTAAATTGTATAAATATACATTGAATAATTATATAGCGTGCGTTTCTAGAAAGTACTATGTAAATCAATAATGTATATGATTTTATTAACAAAAGATCACGTAATTTTTAATAGAGTCAAATAAAATCGTAAGAGAACAATATAATCGGAATAAAAGATCATATTCTACGCATCACGCATCCTCGTGTACATAATTCTATTTATTCTCCATCAAAATAATGTATACAAATTGATCAACGCCGTAGATACCGCCATTAATTCTAGTGTCAACGATATCGTCGTTATTTCAAGTTCACGTATTCATTGAATTACTTGATTACTTAATACTACACAAGATCAAATTATACCAAACTGTATCAATATAATTCTTCGTTCAATTAAATTTCAATTGTACCTCGCAATTTTGTTCAATAGCATGACTTTATTTTCACTTTCATTCATTTCGGCATCGTAATACTTCATAGATGTTATTTGCTTATCGATAGTAACTAATTATTACATGACTCGTAATATCTCGTACTGAAAAAAGCACATGTCAAAGCACGATGCGAACGTTAATTTATACATTCGAACAAATTTTAGTGTAAAAGAAGAGCTGACGTTTACGAGTCAAAATTTTTTTTTCAAACGATTTATCTTATCATGCCGGTGAGTCCTGGAAAAAAAAAGAAAGAAAAAAAGTAGGAGAATCGCATAGATTCTTATGTCTATTTATATTGAATTTGCAATGAGGAAGATAAAGCGATGTATACATATCAGAATCGCGTAGTCTCACTTTAAACGGTAGGTATTACTGGAACGAGAAGGTGGGCGCATCGATCTTCGCCCAAAAAACAACGACATATACATACTACTGTAAAATTCAATGTTCAGTGTAGTGCGTCGAACATTCCTCCGACGAAGTCGTTTTCTCTTTTTTTTTTCCTTTAAATCAAATGTCCGACACAATGTCCGATCGAACTGATTGAAACAATAAATCCACGAATGTCGGTATCAATCGGTATTTTTTTCCCTCCTTTCCAAAATACTAACACGTGAGACAATAACTTTGAAATGACTGTTAGGTTAAGCGTAACAGGCGATTATCACCACTGAAATACTGTATCGCGAGATACCGGCAGTATGGTCATGGTTGTCCAGACCGGTTTTATTTTATCAAACATTTGTTTAAATGAAATTACATTTGTCATCAATCAATTTTCAACACTCACGACACCTTGTGCACTGGGCATTCGTAAACGAATCGGCGTTCAATGTGTAACTAAACATTTTTATCAAACTAATTATCGTACAAAAAAAGAAATTAACATTGCGTAGAATATAAGTCGGAACAGAATATTTTACGCGAATTGTACAAATGAATTTTTAGGAACTTGTGACGTTCGATCATCACTAAAGAGAAACAATTTTGATCTGAAAGAGACAGCGTGTTTCAACTTACTGAGGAATCTGCCTGAGATCGCCCTGCTTTCTGTTTATGCTGCTGCTGCTTGTGAACCAAATCTCAAGGAGTTTCTCCACTCCTTCGAAGAATTGCACACTGTCGGTGCTGTCGTCTTTGGTAGCCGCCATTCTTCGGAGACACAAGATTTTTTACTCACAGTTACGATATAACAAACAAAAATTTCTTTTCCCCTCGAGTTTGTGTTTCGCTCCAAAAATGTACGATAAACCAACTCTCTCGCCGAACTTTGCTTTACTACTGAGAACAAGTGATCGAGCAATCATATTGGTGGTGGTCTCTTTCTCTCTCGCTCTCGTTTGCGTGCGCAACATGGTAGTCTCTATCTTTCTCCTACTCGTTTACTTGATGTTTCCTTTCATCTATTGTCTTTGTTTTGGATGCGTGTATCCATCGTTTCGCCAATCACGAACTACCTTTAGCGCATGCGCATTCTATTCAATTATTTAAAATATACCGCGGTTCATTCTTCCAATGCATATAAAGTTAAAATTTATTAAATGTTAAAGTGTAATATGTATATATATATATATATA